TGAGATACTACACTTGCTATGTAATACATTATTTTGGTATTACAATGTGAACACAGTGTGGAGAAAAAGGTTTCAGCTGAAAATGTCTGTGTGACCTTGACAATTGTCCTTGTTTTGAATATGGCAATAAAAAGGAGAAGCCAGATGCTACAATATTAATATATATAAGCATAAAACTATTACAGCATTACAACCTATACAAGCTAAAGAGAGCAGCCCAGAACAGAGTCCGTTGGCGGGGTGTTGTTGCGGACCTATGCTCCCCCAGGAGTCAACAGGAAAATTGATTGAACCTATACAAAGTGATCCAAGCTAATGTCTGCTGACCCTTCAGCATAGCTGCTTCTCTGCATGACGGTTTGTCTGTCGTCTCTCTAAATAAACATCTGGCTTTAACTGCGTAATTATGACGACTTGCAATGTGCTACACGGTGTTTGTGTTCATGGTTAAGCAGACGGTCAGAAACATTTAATCAGCTCATGATGGTGTTTTTCTCGTTCTGATCCCCACACTGGTTCATCGCCATCATACTGTTACTGTTGTGTCAGCATCAGTTGAGCTTTATATTAATGTTGGCAGCTTAGCATCTACCCTGTGCAGTCAGACAGCTACTGGCTGTGGGGACGCTCCGTGTACCGTGGGTTTGAAGTGTAAATGTGTGTCTCTATTGTTGGACAAGGGAAAGCTTCTATATCTCTGAATTATGAATGTTTTTTTTCACGTGTGGATCAAATAAAGCTGCACATTTTCACTGTGTTCAAAAGATAATTAGGACAACTCTTCCCTACGCAACTGTCATGCTGCTACAGCAACTCAGGAATGTTTGCTTTTCTAACCACTGCATGATTATAAACTGTGGTTCATTCTCTGACTCCTTCACAGTATGTCCGTATAACTCTTCCTTCCTCTTTCTTCTACATCTCTTGGGGCTCCTTCTCCCACGATGATTCTCCAGTCCTGCATATCAAGAGGTACAGTTGGAAATGGGAGCAAAAGCAAAGATTCTGCCCATCAGTCAGCTTTACTGTGCAGCAGACCTTGAACAAACTTTGCACCACTAAACACTTTTCCTCTATGCTGCTTTACTGACCTTGCCCTCACTTTGAACGCTCTAAAGAAAAGCTGAATAAAGGAGTGTGTGGATGGACAGCGAGGACAACCACAAAAGACACACAGCTGTCCTTAACCTGGAA